GTCCCAAGTTTACAACTTATACCAAATATGACTTCACATTTGGGCCACCCGTGTGGGTAAGGCCTTCGAATAAAATCAAAATAGTCATATTTACCGTGTACTTTTACCTTTTACAAACTGTTGTACCAACTACAATTGAATTCACTCTGTCTCCACCTTTTTAGGGAATGTGTTACAGAAAGAGTAAGGGTAACCTGTAGCTTAATGAACCAGACCCAAAGTCCTCTTGACAAATAGACATAACAGCCTAATCATCACTATAATGAAGTCATAAGCAAATTAAATTGAAGCACACGGAATTAAGAGCCAAACTGTTCCAACAAAATTCTTAAACAAGGAATTTTTTTCCTTTTCACAGAGAATCTGTATATGACCTTGACTTGCCAAGGGGGTTGTTGGTAATATCTATCATTCTGAGGTTCCAGGAAAGTTGCACTGAACAAGTCAAATGTATAGGCAACTGTAAAGTACAAAGCAATCAAATTCTTGGCAGTATGTTATTCACAAAGTTCGGTTGGATTCGCCTTCTAATTATGCTATGATAATCCAAAATGTAGCCGAATTGCATGCTGCCCAACTTGATTTATTATTCGTCATTGAATGAATTTGTCATAGTTTGCTGCTTGGAACCCCAATTGGTGCGTCTCTAGACCTCTTCTCTACTGCTCGAGAAAGTTGCTTCACAGCCTCCTTTGATAGTTGGCGAGGTTTGCTCAACCATAGTCCTCCATCCACAACTAATGTTGTTCCATTGATGTATTTCCCTAGAAGCATAAAATAAAATATAAATCAATGTTATGTTACTTCCAAAAATTTCAAAAACCGTACAAGGTATGGGGAACATTGTGAGTAGATTTTTGATTACCAGGTGAGATGAGGCTCTTCGTAGACCAATAAATATCTTATCTAGGCACAACTTGTTAGTAGTATGCTCTAAAACCAATCATATAAATGATGTTTTGGAGTTGTACTAGCAACATTCATTACTTAATTAAATAAAAAGAGTAAGTTAATTATCGTGTTATTGACTAATTTCATTTTGACATGTATGATAAAGTCCATAGAATATAAATTAAGAAAATGATTTCTCAAGTAGTTGAGAGGAGGAGACATATATTTCTTATTACTTAATTCTTAAATGTTCTTAGTCATAGGATTACAATGTGGGTACTATGTAATTTGGATAAACTAGCATACACTATATTTACTCATATTTGATATAAGATGACTCATCCAAGTCACTAGTGTAGGGACACTGAAGAACGTGTGTGGGTATTTGTTAAAGAACAAGTAAACTGAAAGTGACCATTAACTAACGTAAGATTTTTCATATGGAATTTTATATACTTGTCAATGTTAAATCCAAAATTTATAATTATGCAACTGATTCTTAGACTTGAGATACTAAGTTGTCTTGTGCATAAACTTCTATGCTTTAACTACATATTCATATACTAACCATTTAACTTGAATATGTATTGTTGGACATAATTAAACATGCATAAAAACTTATGAATGTAAAACATGTAATTTATTACCCTTAGTAAATAAAAGGAAAATGTTCTATGTGATCTTCTAGGATATAACTCAATGAGTCATTGGCCAATACAGAATGACAATTTGAAAAAAAAAATGTTTTAAATTGATTATTAGGAGTAATAGTCCTAAGATCAAACCCATAAGATTAAATTAAAGGCTTGACAGTAATTTCATACCCTAGTAATTCAATTGGGACATTGTGTAATAGAAGGATTGAATTTTATGACATATGTATACTGAATGGGCTCTTAACCTACTTTGAACTATCTGGAGGTTGATTATGATATGTTGTTAGGTGTCACTCATGATTAGTAGAAGCCCGAAGAATGAAATTAATATAAAAAAAAAAAGTTCTAATTTGAGATACTACTTATAGTTAGTATCGAATGCCTACAACCGAGTATACTTAAACCTATAGGATCACACACAATAGAATTGATTGAAAACTAAAGGATAAAGGAGAGAAAACCAATTAAGAGTTAATTGGGATGAAAACCTAATTAAGAGTTAATTGAGAACTTTATTATAATTATTGATTAATAAAAAGATTATATGTAATTATGAGATAATTACAACTAGACCCAGCTTAGGATTAGAGACTTTCAAGGCACTATAAATACTTTCATGTAGGAGGTGGATATATGATATAACAACTCTATTACTAGCACAAGAAGACTCACCCCTCATTCTCTCTTTCTACTAGTTTATCAAAAGTTGAAGTAGATCCTCCAAGTTTATTAATTCATGTAAATATCGATAGAGGCCAAACAATTGTAAGGCTTGAGGTAAAGATCAAATTCAGATTTGAAGATTCAAAGTTGTTTGAGAAAGCTTGAAGATCGTTCAAAGCACAGTTCAAGAGGTAACCCTTAATTTTCACTATAAATTTGAAGTTTCTCGGTTTGTATTAAACGAATAGATCTTGAAATGAGGAATCAATAGGTTTCTCGGTTTGAGCTCGACTAAAGTAATGGGAGCATTAAAAAGAAAAGTTGGGTAAAGTGTGGGTGACAAGGTTGGGGCAAGAGATGGAGTATTAGTGTTGGGTTCCATATTAATACTACATATTGTGAAACCAACCCAAGAGAAGTGGACCAAATAATGCAAAATCGTCACCTGAATAGTGTAGAATTAGTCGAAAATAAGAAAACATGAGGCTAGAAGTATAGAGAACCAGACTACGAGCTTAAATCAACACAGATTTGTTGAATAGAGGGCTGGACCAGTCTCACCAGAAGCTGAACCGGGTGAAAAAGGGCCTCTGAACCGGGTGCAAAAGGGCCTCTGAACCAGTTGGAACACACAGAACAGACTGCAAACCTACTCAACCAGTGAGAACCGGTTGCAAAATCACCTGAACCTGAAATTAAAAGGCCTCGAAACAGGCTGGAAACCCACGGAACTGGTGTGAACCGGTTGTAAAATCCCCTTAATCGACCTGATTTGGAACTGAACCGGGCTGAATAAGCTGAACTGGCAGTCCTAGTGGGGAAGATGGGCTCACCTGGACTGGATCCAAATGAATGGGCTTAAGCTAGACCAAAATACTGGGTCTGGGCCGAAACACATGGACTGGATCCGAACCAAATGGGCTTAGGCTGGAAGATTGAGTTCTAGCCTTGTATGTTTTAGCCCAAACACAAATAGGCTTTAATAGTTGGATTCAGCTCCTGACCCAGGTATTATATAACCAGATGGATCCAGATGTAACCAGGTATATGTTATAACATGAAGCCTCTTCTTCCTCACATCGACGAACCAAAAACCCTAGCCTTTAAACAACGCTTGACGATGAGCTGACTCCGGCAACAACACCACCAGACAGACAGACAGACCATCGATTATAATCACAACTACAACCACCTTGGAAGTCCTAGCCCACAGATGAAGCATGTTGAAGAGATTACTTTGGCATGCCAACAGAGAAAACCAAACCACCAGCAACAACCAGCCCTCAAATCAACAAAACCTCCGGCGACCAAGAAATATCCACAAAACTGAAGCAATCATCAACACTCAACTTCAAGCATCTCTAAGCATATAGATATCAAGGCCCATCACCAAAGCATCTTCGATATCTAACCACTCATAACCAATGTGGGTGGCATAGTAAATGGGAATAGAGGAAAGGAAAGGAGAACAAAGAGAACAAAGGAGACAAGAAAAGAAAAAGGAAAAAAATCCTGGAAAAAAAAAAGATGAAGGTTTTGGGGGAATTTCAAATCAGAATTTGGACCAATTTGCCCTGATACTATGTTAAATTTAGAGAATGGAGAGAGAGAATAATAAAAGAGATGTATAGAGTAGGAAAACATACCTTACCTCTCACTCAAAACTGGTCCATTCCGCTCAATTGCCACCTCTAGTCTTAAGTACTATCTTCAAACGGCTAATCGAGCTCTACAATCCGATTTCTCTTTTAAAGGACTCCCCCAAAGTTCTACTCGATCAAATGCTTCATAAACCGAAGTGGGTTTGATGGGTTTCTGCAAGATCTCTCTCTTCTTCTTGATTTGAAGTTAAAGTATAAGATTAATCAATGTAGCTTGACCTTGGATGCTTAGGAATTGCTAGGGTTTGTTCTTGACTCCCTAAATGATATAAGAGGCTTTTAGAGGTTTATGGAGAGTAACCCTAGTCTAAAAAGGCATGTTTATATATATATATATATGGGCCGTAAATAAAGTCAACTTGATGCCCAAGAAAACTCAAATTCGCAAGTGACCGCTTGAATCATTCTCAGGCCATTCGAGCCATTAGTAGGCCGCTCAGGCAGCCAGTAAGTCATCTCCACTGCCAACTACATAGCCTTCTGCTGAATTTTTCCCAAGTGTTCGAAGACTACTCAAGTCTTTGGTTAGTGAACAGAGGGTGGTCCATTCTGGTTTTTAAACCTAAAACCAAGTTTTAGGTTCTAAGGAGTGTTGCTCAACAAGGATCTGATCCATGATTCGATCTATGTTTTTAAAACAACATTTGGAGTTTCAAAAATATTTTCAATAAAAATCCTATGAATCATGTACGGATTCATCTTAAATCCAATTTATTAAAACCTAAGCAACCAAAGTAAAAATACCAAGGATAACTCAAGGTCTTTATCTTTCCTAATTGTCGAAAGATCGTGGGAAGTCTTCATGATGTGGTTTTGTAGCTTAGACTTCTTCCTTCTTCTAGCTTTGGATCTTCATCTTTGTAGATTCACGATCATGTATCTAGTTGAGATTTACATTGTGACCTCCTGGAATTAGCCAATTACAATAAGCAAGTTTCTAACAATTTTATTATGGCACAATATACTACAATTTTTTTGCTTTAAGCTCTAAGAATTTTGTTAATAAAAGAAACATAACATATTATAGGGACTTCTGAAAAGCATAGAGATATTGAAACAATGAAGCAACCAAACGTCTATGGAGTGATTATATATGGATATGAACTTGCAGGAGGATGAGTAACTATGATTACCGACCAGCATCTGATGCCAGGTAGAGAGCAGCCATAGCAATGTCCCATTTTTCTCCCACTTTATATAGAGGATCATTTTCTCTTGATTTGCTTCTTACCTCCTCCGGTGCAAGTTTGCTATAACCAGTGGTGTCTTCAATAGGCCCTGGTGCAATCCCGTTGACTCTGATATCGTAATCTGTTCCCCACTCCAAAGCCAAGCTCCTTGTTAGGCTATCAACAGCGGCCTGGACCAAAAGGGAAAATGTGTCGATTAAACACTAGTCAGAAATAGAAGTTTTCCACAAAATTAGCACATCACTTCGACGAACCTTGGCAGCAGAAACATGTACTTGATACCAAGTTGCTGTATAATGCAAAGTTGCACTTATGTTTATAATAATTCCACCACTAGATGGGTCCTTCCCAAGGCCACCTTTCCTAAGATACTGAAGTGCTTCACGGCTCATAGTAAAAGTGCCAACGGAATCTATATCCATCACTGCAGAGACCAACCAAAACAGAGAAAGGTTTACTTAATATCTCGAAGCCTCTTATGGCCTGAAAAACACGTTATGAGGATGTCTTTCACATGGTACAGCAGATGCTATTCATTATACATAGGAACTGATCAGTCAACAAGTATAACCAAAGTTTAAAATATGTTTTCACCAACTCCTTGTTGTAGTGTGCAAAAGGACTGTATTTAGGTCCACACCATGAGGATACAACCTGTACGAAAGCCGTTAGGGGACAAATTCTCTGCTGGAACAAGGAAATTGCCAGCTGCAGCATTCACTAGAATATCAAGCTTGCCAAAATGCTTAATTGTTGTTTCTAGAACTCTGACTGCATCATCTTGTTTACGAACATCTCCTTCAAGCCCAATAGCCTGCAATAAACAAGAAGTGTGCAATACTGAAGTTGGAAAACAAGGAATTAATTTGACCTTCTAAATAATCAGACACACACAGGATAACTACCTAACAAAATTTGTAAAGCAAGATTGCCAAAAAAATATTTTAAGCTATTACAATGGGAACAACTACTAAAAATGCCCACAAATTAGACCAGCAAAAGTAATATCACAGAATTGTGAATTATATATAGGAATGTATGCAGATGGAAATCTGAATATAGCTCGACATTTCATCACCATGTTATCCTTTTTTTTTCCCTCATACTACATTATTGCTTGACAGATAGACTTTCTCTCTTAGGAATTAATTTTAGCATCTCTTAACTCGACTAAAGAGTTTAAAAGTTATCTATTGGAAAGTATAGAAGACTTGATACTCAACTTAAACACTCCAAGAAATCAAGGCTAATATAAAAAAGTTTTCTTGTCTATGTCATGAGTAATCACCGACTTCAGCGTCTGCACCGTTGGATCAAGATGCGTGTGCACTGTTGTAGCAGTATCGTTTGGCAAAAGTTCTTGATGAGTCACTATGCCCAACATTGAAGCCTGATCCAATGATCAAGTTCAAGCATTGTGATGTAACCTACCTGAAATTGAACACATGGCATGCATATAAAAGGTTAAAATCCATAAATTATCAAACACTTCAGCTGCTCATTTCATCCACTAATTGATATATTTGATAAATACATGAGAAATAAGAAGTGATACTATAGATCTCTCATGATTGATCACTATGGGACACGAATTTTGGCCCATAAGTGTTGTTTTCTTCTATGTTTTATACAATACAATAGGAGAAAATTACAGAAAGGAGAATAGGTGGAAAAAATCCTAGAAGAATGAAGAAATGGGGGGGAAAGATGAGAATAAAAAGAAAATAGCCAAAAGAGAGAGTAGAGCATTCGAGGTAAGAAGAATTAGAGCAAGATGAAGAAGAAAAAGGGAGAGAGGAGGCAGAAATATCGAGAAGACATCCAAGCTTTGTCCAAAAACCCTGAATATCACATCTTAGAGGCTTCAACGAGTGTGTCATTTTTGAGGCTCTTTTATATCATCTACGAAACCTTAAATATGTTCTAAAACTCCAAAAATACCCCCTAACTCATTATAATAAGATAAAAGACCTTCAAACATACTCTTTGAAACAATTCTACTCTAAAACTGTAAATAAAAAATATATCTAGACTACTTTAAAACTCTAATACCAAACAAGTGACGTTGTCGTTTTTGTCTACGACACAACATCACATCACCTTCCTTGGACTCAATTGGTGTTCATTGTGTTTAACTTGTACCCCTAGGGTCTGTGGAGAAGGCAGCTATACTTGTATGCTTTTGTTTTTCTTGGCTTGATGAAATACAAGCTAAGATGGTGATACACAATTTTTACCGAGGTGGAGATTTGTTGGATAGTGGCCCAAATTCCAAGTTTTCCTAGGAAAAGACATTATCTAATTGCTTGTGTGACTTTATTAGACATTATCAAATTCAATTCTAGTAAGGTCATTTCATTCTTAATTATTATTGGAGAATAAACCTTTGTTTTGTAGTACTTAGGCTTTGAAGCTGAATTATGTAATTTCTTCGTTCTGTGTTTGCAATCTCTTGCATAACAAAGATCAATTAACAAAAGAAAAAACACAACCAATTAGATGTTTTATAGTTTCAAATAAGCACAAAAGTAACTGCCCTCAGTGCATCCCCGTCAGAATTCTAAATCTGAACTCTATTAAGCAACAAAGGCAATAAGCACATTAAGAAGCTCTTGCTTCAGCTGCAATTGGATCATGTAATCAACTTTGAGATATTAGTAAAAACAACAGAGGTCTAACTAAACTTTTTACAAATCCAGTTGAAGAATTTGCTTCAAGTAAGTAATCCAGCTGAATAACAGGAACGACATGATGTTTTATAGAATGAATTTGATGCAATCCATAAGATGCTTAAGGAAACACAAATTCGAAGATGTGAAAGTTAATGAAATTGTCTTTCCATCAAGACAAAGATTCATATGGAACCTTGCATTCTTATTTTAAGTTAATTTGTTAGTATTAATATTTTATATGTCATTTTAATATTTTTTAGTATTGGGGGTATTTTTGTAATTTCTAGAATTTCTGGAATGGGTCATATTTTTGGGTCAAATTCTAGTATTGAATATTCTAAAATTTAAAGTCTTAGTTTTATTTAATTTTAATTTTCTAATTTATAAACACCTAGTGTTTTTGAAGTTCTAGAGACTTTAGAATCCTAATCTTTTGGAATTATGATTACTTAGAACTCTATATATAGTTAGTGTTACTTTTAACAATAGATGAAGAGAGATATTCAAAATTTTGAGAAATTACATGTTTCTTGAGTTGTGTGATACAATTCTAATCCTAGGTGTGATGGCTACGGAACCCTAGGAGTGATTCCTAACCAAAAATACTATTAAGCTACCGTTCACAGACATTACTGTTCACAACCCCTAAGTAGTCCCTATTTTTATTTTACAAAGTTGTCCTACATCATAATTATTCATTCATTCATAGCGTGCAGAGGAGAATATTCAACTACACTTTTGATGTAAATGATCCAGCTGAAGACTAGGAAGAACCACATCATCTTTTACAGAATATTCGATTATCCATGATGTGCAGATGAGAATACTCAGCAAGGCTGCATTTCTAGGGAAAGACATAAAAGATTTCGGTGAAAATTAGAGTTAATCACCAAAATAACTCAAATTGACTGCTCATAGGTCAATAGTTAGCATCGTGGAACACTAAATACATGAAACAACAAAGAATTGAACCCTTCTTTTATAGCCTCTACAGTTGGTAATGCAATTAATTCTTCAATTTTAGATCATTCTCTCTCATTTATCATATGAAGAATCAATAGAACTGATGTACATGCTTTAAACTCTCCTTTACATTTTGTTCAAAATAAGGTTTAACAATTAGATTCATCAAATTGGAGGTGTCAATCTTCATGATATCTATGTGTATACAAATTATTTGGGAGAACCAAATAGTTATAGGGCCAGGATCACAATTTCGATTTTTGGCATCTGAATGACCGAACATTTCCATTTCAGTGATTGAATACCAAAATTTTAATGTTTTGAGGTGTTTAGTTTCGGTAACTACCATTGAGAAACAGATTTTCAAAAACTTTTCTGCTTCTGTGGTTTCTGAAACCTTCACTCCCTAAAAATTTTTCTGTCCTGCCCTTTGCCCAACTCCGTTGCGATTCAAAGAGGACGATCAATGTTTTTTATTTTTGTATTTAATTTTCTTGGCAGCCAACGAGGGCGAATGATGGAGAGGGTTGAGGATTGCGTACCTGAATACCCAGAAAACGAAGAACAGATACAGCAGAGTCGAGGACGTTCTTGCGTCGGCCCATGATGGCAACTGAGGCACCATGTTTCCCCAGCTGTGCTGCTATCTCATATCCAATACCTGATCCACCACCAGTCAGCAATGCAACCTTTCCTTTCAGTATATCTGGCTTGAAGGGAGATTCCATGGAAGTGAAACTTTTGCGCGCACACACACACACACTCTCACTCTCTCTCTCTCGTTAAGACTTAAGTCGTTTAGGAACATGGAATACGAGGAGAATATTGAAAGGTGGATTCCCCCTCCGCCGGGCGGCTTTCATTCTATTTAATTTTTTATTATTTGAATATCTAATTTAGAGATATAATAATATAATTTTAATATAATTATCGGATTAGTTGTAAATTCTAATGTTAAATAAAGTTTATAATCAATCCAATAGTTATATATCATTAAGTCCCTAAATCAAATTTTCAAATTAAGTCCAAAAAATATTTTACTTTTTTTTATATCCATCTCACTAATAATTAAGTTCGTTCTAGGTTATACACACCTAATTAGAAAAGTAAATTCACTTATTTTATATACCCCCTTAATAACTAAATCCACCCTATTATGTAATCATAAATTTGTGACTAAACTCACCTCATTGATGATTAAGTCCACCCCATTAATATTTTAATATATCTTTCGACTTGTAAACAACACCCAAATCAAAAAAGAAAATAATCTAGAATTATAAATTATTATCATCTTCTTACTTTCTCAGCTTATATATAAATGAGTTGTTAGCTAGCTGGCCATCAACAACAATTTTACTTGTTTAAAAGTTCATCTAAAATATCTTATTATTTCCTAGATTTTTTTTTGCTTATTTATCTAATTGTCCTAGTTCTTTTGAACCATGTATTTGATGTCCAGTAAAATACTAATATTATAAATAGAACTTTAATATCGAATGTCAAAATTAAGTGTATTATTATACAATGGTGCATCACAATGACGAGAAAAGAAAAAAAATATTCAAAATGGAAGAAAACAAAAAGGTCATAAGCCCATTTCAAAAGCTAAAAAATACAAATGATATAGGTCAACCCAATTTAGTTTTAGAACCTAATCAAGCTCTCCGCTATCGCTTCGATTCCATAAGTTGTATCAAGTAAAGAAAACCCCCGTATAAAATTTAAAACAAAAAATATAAATCAATAGTGACCCAAAATTTATGAAAACATAAAATTATTATGATTTTAAAAAAAATACTTACTTTGTTTTTAGGCTACGTCGTCAGGAATATCTATAATTACAGTTTCTTAATTGTTTCCTAGCAAAGTCTTGAATCTTTCTATCCGCATCAAATATAGAGTAATCCACCCGTTAGACAGTTCATAATGATACTTGTGCCACATAGTTGACACGGGAGGTAAGGGAGAACCTAGAGTGAACTTCAGTCTGACAAAGTAACTTGAGTTGATGTAACCACATCTGAGAATTCGATGACTTGGTTTGTAAGATGTTTGCTGACGAACACGAAGAAATGTGAGACATTGGTGGTGTAATATGTGGAGTATAACAATGTTATAACATGATGCAATTATGTGCCCCATATTTGGTATTGTCATCCACTGTTCTAAGCCAACATTATTATCCCAACAATGAATGGATTCCTCTAATTTAGCCACACGCACTTCACCACCCAATACTTGAAAGTAGTTAATGTTAAATGTCTTCAACTCATTTAACAAGTTTTGCCACACTTGCTTCCAACCATAATCCCCTATCTCCAAGAATCCAACAACTAGCCAAAACCCACAATGTCCATCTCCTAGGACATCAATGACAATAGCAATAAAATGAGTTATTGCGTCTGGGAATTATGTTACATACCTCATTGTATTGGAATTTCTAGTCCGATGCAAAGTAAGCTTTGGTTTTATGGGTTTCCAATCAGAGTGCACTAGAGGCCCTTATACAAATTGTTGTGAAGACAGGTTAATGACTAGCTTTGTTTGACTTTCCTAAAATAATGCAACATACTAAATCCATATCGATTGCACTTAGATAATTCTTCTGGTATCACAATGCTCTTCTTCACCCTTTTTTTCTTCTTCCGACCTCTTAGATTCACTTTTGTTACTGGCTCAAGGAGGGAAGTTTTCACTATGATCAGTCAACCTAATCAAGTGCAGTTATGGAGACAATGCCAATGAGTTCTTTGTACAACAGAGCTCTAAATCGATGTGGAGTCCTTGTCAGACTATCCTTAAATGATGATTTGATATCTATAATTTGTACTTCTATCAATAGATGAATGGCATTAAAGGAGTTAACAAAGCCTTGGACTGATGAATTCAGGTGCTTCTTCAACTTGGCATGACTAGTCTCAGCTCGGTTAGTTGAAGTGATTCCCAAATGGAAGTATTGATCAATCCATGTTGAAAAAAAAACTAATTTTTATGATTTATAAGCCATGTTTCTCGAAGATAATTCAATTCAATTGGATAACCGAATTTAATCTCCATTTGTTGCATATTTTTCTTGTATTCCTCTTCTATCGATGCTCGCATGACATCGAACCATGCTACGTTGAATTTATTCCACATCTTCTTCTTTGAAAATTAATTTATACAATTATTAGGACATTTTCTCTATATGAACATGACATAATAAATTGGTTGCATTTGTAAAGACATCCTTAATTGCATTCATGAGAGCAAAGTCAAGATCAGTCACAAGTACCCCAGGCAGCGACATATCCTCAAAAATAGATTTAAACCACTCAAGCGCCCAACAATAATTTTCTTATTTTTCTGATTCCATATAAATGCATGCAGCCACAAAAGTTTTTCCTATAGAAGTCACGCCCACAATCTTTAATAGTGACAGTCAGTACTTAGTTGTTTTATACGTGCAATCCATCATAAAAACAAAAAGGAAAGCCATTGTGAGTTGGATTGATGTTGGTTGTGCCCAAAAGAGATCTTTCACTATCTGTAACGCCCCAAAATCCCTCTTGGACGATATTACTATTTAAAAATCATTTACATCATGAGAGCAACTAAATAAACTTCATAACTAAAAAGAATTACATTTATCACCCACAATATATACAAAATCATCCAAACGAATATGCCAAACTATGACAATTATATCCTAAAAATTAACTATTATCTTGCAGCGAAATAAAAAAAATATAAGACTTCACATTGTCTCAAAATGAATTCCTAATCTAGAACATAAGAGATGATAGCTCTAAACGTCGATTTTGGGATCCATGTTCCCATCTATTGGAGCTTCCCAATGTGTTGGCTCATCAACTCTGAGCTCCTCCTCTAGACCATAATCTGAAAAAGATATTGTTTGTAGGGGGTGAGCACTAAGCTCTATAGGAAAATCTTCTCAAACTCGAACAAGGTTTGAAAAGCATATAACATGGTCGGTCTCATTTTACAAATATCATATATAGCTTTTGAAGGAAAACAAGGACATTTAAGTGGATCTCAAGTTTACACAATAACAATAATTAAATAAAAAAGTAAAACCAATTCCCAATAATAACAATTTCTAGCAAGTTACCATTTCCACAATAACCAATTTCACAACAAACCGATTCTACCATAAACTCCTTTCCACAATAAATCATAACCAACCATTTGTACAATCAAAAATAACCCACAATGTATATCAAAATACAATTTGTATTTCAAGTATGATGTATGACATTGCATAAATAAACACATCGAGAATATCATGGCTTATACACGCACACCCAATCCTCACAAGGCTATCCAACTTTTAGGAAGGGCGTATACCAACGCATTAGTAGTGACGAATCCAATTCAGGAATAGTATACTAACCCTCAGCCTCAGTACCTGTAAGCGAATAGTGGTTTGGTCCTCGTAAGGTACCAACCCCATTATGCGTGGTAGAAAAAATTCAAACCCGTACGGAGTAAGAAACGCATCTACCCACTTTACGATACTCGGTCAACGGTCATCCATGGTCATCCAAACATCAACAAGAGATATAATACAAACCCATTTCCTCAAATCACAAAGCAAAATTCAAATTCCCAAATTTTACATGTATTGTTCCAATAGAACAATTTAAGAAAATATGTAATAGATCATTAAAAATACCATTTTATTGTTCAATATCAAGCACTAGAGTTTTTAAATCAAGAACAAAGAAAAAATCAAGGAAAAAATTAATTTCTCTTGAAAAACTAGGTTTTGATGTCAAAACAAGGGTTTTTGTGGCTTTCAACCCATAATCTCACTTAAAACATGAGAAGGTTTGCAAGAACATCAAGATACAAGGATATCATAACATATATCTAAGTTTTTGAAGCAAAAGATACATAAATATAAACCCTAGCCTCAATGGACAAGAATGAGAATAAACCCCTACCTTTCTTCTTCCTTGACGTTCTTGAAAAACTAGAAGTTTTGATCCTCTTCAATGTGCAAATCCCTCTTGATCTTGTATTTTTCCCCTTATTTCTTCCTCTCTAAACCTCTCTAGGGTTATAAATGTTGAAATGGGGCTATTGGAGGCACCCTTATGTATTTATAGGGGAAAAAAAGAGTTCAAACAACGTAAATCTGATACTTTGATTCGTCGCTCATGTTTGAACGTCATTGGCGTTCGAACATTAGTTAATTCTAGTACCTTTTTTTTTCATCAGAGACAAAGCACTGGAATGCATTGTCGTTCGAACGGACTTTCATGTTTGAACGTAGGTTGTTCGAACGGACTTTCTGTTTCTGTTGAAACTTCCAATGAAGTTTTGGCCTATTTAAAGGTCGATTTGGAAAATATTTGTGAAATACACTTTTGTAGCCCTGGAAGTCTACTATCTACTGTAAAAATTTCAGCTCAAACAAATATCAAGGTAAAATGGTATGGTCCAAATACTAGAAAGTGTCCAAAATCCTTTTTACCCAAATTTTATCTAAAATGTGTTTGAATTCCGGAATACTTCCTAACTTCCAATTCATACCCTATTACCTCAACTAACATTTTTATTTCTACTCTTACAATCCACGTAGTTCATGCATACATCATCACATATATTATTATTTCAAAACATAATTACGTTGCTATATAAGTATAAGAATGTGGGAGTTTACACTATCTTAGACACTATTTACTACGATGATGCTCCACATAACCATACTCATGAATTCTTTTAAACAACTATTGCATGTGTGTA